GCCTGGTGTGGAGGTTATTGGTTCAATACTGATACTCAAATAGCTGGGTCATGTGCTTACGGACTGCGTGCTGGATCTATTTTGTTTATTTCTGTGTTTAGGAGTTTACCACGTTGGTCGTCGGCAAGACAAAGATTGGAATTTACAAGGAAATTTGATTTATTTTGGGCTTTTCAATTCGATTAAAGAACGTGAAGGATTGAATCTGGTTTGAATTAAATAAAATGAATTTATATTCGGACTTAAAAGGTCACGTTATCTCGATGCGGACTAAGCAAAGTTACTTCAGATTTCTGCTTAACCTGAGGCTGTGATGACGGTTGCAAGAATAACTATTTTATAGATTCTGTTCAGGGGAAAAACTGGTCATATTTTGAGGTTAAATTGCGTCAGATTAAGCAGAGCTAGCTCAGTGCTGATGAGGAAATGACAAGACAAGAATGCTGACATGTTGATTTTGGACGTTTGTGGACCGGAAGCATCAGCTAAGGCAGGCGTGTCAAACTGAAATTCACATTTTATCTGTAGCCTTTCAAATGTCTTTTTTAATGTAAATCTTTATTTGTCAGGCCAAAAAAATAGTAAATCTTTATTTGACAGGCCAAAAAATAAAAATAAAAATGACGATCTCGCGGGCCAAATATAATTATACCGCGGGTCAGATTTGACCCCCGGGCCTGGGTTTGACACATGTGAACTAAGGAAATGGAAAAATCGGTTTTAGTACAGAAAACCTCTCTCATAAATCAGTGCGGCAGGCCCGTCTAGTAAAACTCTTTAATCTACTCAGTACTTGCTAGTAACAGTCTCAAGCAGGGCACAAAGAAAATGAAAAAAATCATCGGTTTAAATCTCAAATATTCATCTCTCACCCACAACCAATAGGTTGTTTTTATTTTGAAGGATACTAATTAAAATGCCATATATTCCAAATATAATTGAAAAAAAAAATACTAGTTGTCTGTATAGTGCTTTGGTGTACAATCAAAGTGCGATTATTCGGGGTTGATCCAACAACTACTAATGCTAAGAATACTGCATTTAGAAAAAAAACGTTTTTACCCCCAATATTCTAGTTTTGTATCGTAAAAAAAATTTAATTTTTCTTTAGCTCCTAAGTCATGCCAATATTCTAGTTTTGTATCGTAAAAATTAAACATTTTGTGTGAATTTAATTTTTGCTCTTTTTATTTTTTTTAGCTCTTAAGTGCAGTCATACATTCACAAATTTAGTAGGCGCATCTAATATGCTCAAAATTGTGTATGTTGGTCATTTTAGCTTAAGAAAAAAAAAACAGATTAAATTAAAACATTTGAACACATTTTGGAGTGTTTGAAATTAAAGCACCTCAACGTATCATGTAAATATAAAATATATTTAGTTTATCTGAGTAAATATGTATTTAATATTATTAAAAAAAAGGCATATCCTGTTTTTTTTAGCCCCTACAGCATAAAAATCAAGTAAGACGTAGTGATGATGATGACACCACTACAAGGTTCCAAATACCACACTAAATACGGTGCACAAAAATGGATTGAAAAATTAATACTAGCACATGGACAAAATATACAAGGTACCACATGTGCGTTAAAGTGATAATAAAAAAATAAATAAAAAAAACAGCACAAAGACAGCGCTACAAGAGCAGTGCAAGTTTAGAGTGTGCAGACGGAGAGGGGCTGAGACCCACCTCCCATCAGAGGCTATAAAACTGAGCAGCGGGGCTCGTGTTCATCTGAGGAAGAGTGTTATTGTATTTCATTGGTGCACCGGACGTTCTTTATTCTTTCACTCCGCGTTTCAAAGTATTGCTGTACCTCGCTGATATTTGTTTTCACAGAAGGATATTTTACATCTGGAATAATCCGGAGCACATTTAGTACCAATGTAAAAATCACTGAGAATTAATAGAAGTACAAACACCCAAATGCCAGATTTAGACAATGTTGTTACATGTATAGAGCGTCATCACAGATTTACACATACATTTGAGTTCTACAGGAAATATAGCCAGAGTTAATGCACGATAGCTTTGTGCTCACACAGCAGCAACACTGCAGTAAGTCCCACCCACCCCTCGTAGGTACTGGGGAACTGGGGTAGAGGGCACGAGCTCAACTAGCCAATAAAAATCACTCTGTGCAGCCTGCCTGCAAGCGCAGCACAGCACAGCACAGTGGGGGGAAGGGACGAGGGCCATGTAATGTCACATTATGGTGCCAGAAAAACCACCGCTCTGGCTCTGAGAACTGGGAGACGACACTCGTCTTTTTTTTTTTAAGAGTAAAAACCTACTTTTCCCCCCATCGGTGACGAGGCTTGACGTGGGTAACGCTAATGTCAGAGAAATATTTCTCAACAGCTGCTGGCTTTTTCTAAAAACCCTGAAGGTTTCAAGAAACACTATACTATATAATACATTTTTAAAAATATATACATATATATGTATAACTTGGAACTTGATCTATGCCTAATGATACATTTAATAATTGTTGATTTATTTGAAATTATAATAATTCATTATTACTGAAATTATTAATAATTGTTGATTTATTTGAAATTAAATTTTTTTTATTTATTTTTTTTCAATAAATAAATAATTAGCATAAATTCCCAAAAATAGTGTCTTGGAGCAAATTTCAAAAGAAACAGGAACTGACCTTTTTGGTAAACATATATAATTAAAAAAAATAAAATTTAATGTAAAACTATTTCAAATAAACAGTGATTCCAGAAAATCCAATACAAAACACAACACATGAACCCAATTGTAAACTTAACGTTAACTAACTGAACCAAAATTATCAAAAATTCAATATTATGGTTTGCTTTTAGTGACAATGTGGAATCCAAAACAATTCTGGTATTTTTTTTTTCCCCCGATTTAATGGTGTCAGTCAAACGTTTCTCGTCATTGCAGCGCTTCCGCCGACTGCTTTGTGTTGTCACCACGCTTCTTTGCACGTTGCAAATATTGCCTTACACTTGACATTTCACCGAGCTAGTCTCTTCATGTCATCGCCCTGTATCGTTGTTACCGCCAACGTGTGACAAAGCACTCACATCTCAAAGAAAGAATTTGTGTAAATAGATCCTTATCAAGGACGGCCCCATTCATCGTTGCCCAATCCGTCTATTAAGTCAATATCGGAATTTTATCCGATGTTAGTGTTGGATGGGTGCATCCCTGATTTGTTTTGGCTAATACGCAACTCGAATGCCACGACTATCGTTTGTTGTTTAAAGGTTTACATTCACCAATGTTTGGAAAATCCTGAAAATAAATTACAACATAGACAGCACCGGTCTTAAGCCTGTCTGGTATGTTAAGGCTTTATAAGCTGTGTAATACCAAATCCCAGGAGCTCCATCTGCCAGACAACATTCCTCGACTGGAAGTCAGATATAACCTCATCTTTTCCAAACACTGTATCTCGTATCTCGTTCTCATAGTTTCCCCTCTCTCTCTCTCTCTCTTCCTCCCATCGCTCTATTTCTGCTTTCACTGTCCTCCCCTCCGCTCACCCCCCCCCGTCTCCACTGTAGCTGCCCCGCCCTCTCGTGGCAAATCCCGTTGGCTCGCTGCCACGGACGCAACACGCACACGGACATGCCTGTCGATGTTTTGAAACTCTGCCAGATACAACAAGGGGAGGCGGTGGCCGCAGGACGGCAATCTGATTGGTCGGCCTCAGAGCCGAGTAGGAAAACAAACCACAGTCAGCTGGCCTCATTGCACAGCGAGCATGTGACAGACCGTCTTGCGCTCAGCACTTGAGTAGTAAGAAAAAAAAAAAAAGAAGAAGAAGAAGAAAAACAGGAAAAGGAGACGGAGAGTAAAGGTGGCAAAGATATGAATACAAATACCAGCGTAGTAGTGACAACTATGACAGTAATAAATGTGATAACGACGGTGACAGCCAGGGTAAGGAGGAGCAAACGGGGAGAAAAAATAAAAAGGAAACAAGCAAAAAAAAAGACTGGCGCCAAAAC